AGAAAAACGGCAGACTACGTTAGGTAGTTGTGGTTCACAGAACAGGGAGAGCTGTGTCAGAGATTCGTCAGCCGAAAAGGGAAGTGGTGTTGTGGGTGAGACGAAATTAGATTCTCTGAGAGAAAAAGGATGTGAAAGCAGCGACTTTGAGGCTAGGTCGCAGGGCATCCCAGCAAACAGCCCGTTAGGAATTTTGCTAAAACGTTGGAATAACAACCCATACACTCTCGGGAAATCAAGAGAGACGATGGTCTATTATTGTATTGAAGTGTGGGGAGGCAGACCAATAGGGAGTGGTATTTGCTGGCCGATTTATGGCTCATTTGAAAGTTGGATTTGTGAGATGCTGAATTTTCACGTTAATGAAAAAAGACCCTATTGTCCGGAGGAGTGCAAATATGCTGTTATCTGGTTGGGGTCTAGTACTCCTACTCGGTTATTCCCACTTAAAGAACAGGGAAAGCAAGTAAATTGTAATAAAGATTCTGAACTCCGGAGTTCACCTCCCCCTTATATCCCTCCGTACTGGGAGGAAAGTGAAGTGACACCAAGTGCTCCAAGGGTGTCAGAACCCGCCATCTTACCTGAGCAAAGGCGGGAATCCACCATTTTAAGTCCAGCAGGGCGAAAGCCCGCCGATTTCTCGGCACAAGGGCGGGAATCCGCCATTTTATCCACACCAGGGCGGGAATCCGCCATTTTACCCACACCAGGGCGGGAATCCGCCATTTTATCCACACCAGGGCGGGAATCCGCCATTTTATCCACACCAGGGCGGGAATCCGCCATTTTATCCACACCAGGGCGGGAATCCGCCATTTTATCCACACCAGGGCGGGAATCCGCCATTTTATCCACACAAAGGCGGGAATCCGCCATTTTGTCGTCCACCTCTGTACACCTGTCAGCCGATAAAGCTAGTGAGTCTTTCTTACCTAATGATATAACAGAGGCTCATGGAATAGCTGAACACCCCCCTCAGAAGTCTCAGTTATACCCTCTTCGTGAAACAGCCGTGCCAGGGAGACAAGGAGGTATAGGATTTGTATCGGTACCTCTCAGTTCGGGGGACGTACGGGCTTTTAAGAAGGAAATGGGAAATTTATTAGAAGACCCCATAGGGGTTTCTGAAAGATTTGATCAGTTTTTAGGGCCTAACACCTATACGTGGGATGAGATGCAGGCAATACTGGGCATCTTGTTTACTGTAGAAGAAAGAGGAATGATTAGAGCAGCTGGCATGAGAAACTGGGACAGAAGGCATCAGCAGGGTCCTGCTGCTGAAACTAAATGGCCTATTGAGAAACCTAACTGGAATAACCAAAGGCCAGAGGATAGAGCTTTAATGGATGATTTAAGAAGTATAATTGTTCAGGGAATACGAGAATCTGTTCCTAGGGGACAGAATATAGATAGGGCATTCAAAGAATATCAAAGAAAAGAGGAGTCACCTACAGATTGGTTGGAGAGACTGAGAAAAAGTTTTCAACTGTATTCGGGAATGGATCCTGAGGATGATGCAATGGGACAGGCGGTGCTCAAGCTTAGGTTTGTCCAGGGATCTTGGGAAGACATTAGAAAGAAACTAGAAAAGAACAGAGACTGGCAGACAAAGGGATTAGATTTGTTGTTAAGAGAAGCTCAGGAGGTGTATGTTAGAAGAGATGAAGTAAGAGAAGAAGAGAAGCAGAGAAGGAAAGAGGATATGCAAAGGAAACAAACCAGGGTTTTAGTAGCAGCCATCAAAGGAGAGCAAAATGCTGTCAGAGAATTAGAGAAGAAGGAATCTTTTAGTCACAATGATCGGTCACAACGGGGAAAGAATAAGAGGACTAATTATAGGGAACTTGAATGTTACTATTGCGGTCAGAAGGGACACATTCAGAGGAACTGCAAAAAGAAGCAGAAAGATGAACAAGTCTTCTTAGAAGACTGAAGGGGTCAGGGGCTCTATCTGCTGGGGACCCCAAAGAATACTGAGCCCTTGATAAAATTAAAAGTGGGTCCTCAGCAACAAGTTCTTGAGTTTCTTGTGGACTCAGGGGCTGAAAGATCAACAGTGCAACAATTACCTCCAGGTTGCATAATATCATCTGATAAAGTTCAAGTAATTGGAGCAAAAGGGGAGCCTTTTAAAGTACCGGTAATAAAAGATGTTGAAATAGAGGCTTCCAATAAAATTGCCTTAGGAACATTTTTGCTAGTTCCGGAAGCAGAGTATAATTTATTGGGAAGAGATTTGATGATTGAGTTGGGAATTCATTTAGAAATCTCAGAACAGCAATTGAAAGTAAAGATTTATGCCCTTACGGCAGAAGATGAAACTCAAATCAATCCAGAAGTGTGGCATACTTCTGATACAATAGGAAAATTAAATATAGAGCCATTTGAAATTTCTATAAAAGATCCAAATAAACCCATCAGGGTGAGGCAATATCCAATTCCCAATGAAGGGAAAATGGGCCTAAAGCCTACTATAGAAAGATTGCTGGCAAAAGGGTTGCTAGAACCCTGTATGTCCCCTCATAATACTCCCATATTACCTATTAAAAAGCCAGATGGGACTTATCGACTGGTACAAGATCTAAGAGAAGTGAATAAACGGACAGTGACAAGATTTCCTGTGGTTGCAAACCCATACACTTTATTAAGCCAAGTGTCACCAGAACATCAATGGTATAGTGTGATAGACCTAAAAGATGCTTTTTGGACTTGTCCTCTAAAGGAGGAGAGTAGAAATTATTTTGCCTTTGAATGGGAAGACCCTGACACTCATAGAAAGCAGCAGCTAAGATGGACAGTTCTGCCTCAGGGGTTCACAGAATCGCCGAATCTATTTGGACAGGCTCTAGAGCAATTGTTGGAATCCTTCAAACCAGGTGAAGGAGTAGTGTTAGTTCAGTATGTTGATGACCTGTTGATTGCTGGAAAGGATGCTGAATCTGTAAGAAAGGAAAGTATTAGGCTATTGAATTTCCTGGGTAACAAAGGCCTGAAGGTGTCTAAGTCCAAGCTGCAGTTTACAGAAGAGAAAGTGAAATATTTAGGACACTGGCTGAGTAAAGGGTGTAAAGGATTAGATCCTGAAAGGGTGAAGGGAATATTGTCGATGCCAGCACCTAGAAGTAAAAGGCAAATTCGACAAATACTGGGACTTTTAGGGTATTGCCGACAATGGATTGAGAATTATAGCAATAAGGTAAAATTTCTATATGAGAAGCTAACTAAGGATAAGTTAGTAAAGTGGACAGATGAAGATGAGAATAGATTAGAGGTTCTGAAGGAAGATCTGATAAATTCTCCAGTACTTAGCCTTCCAGATGTAAAGAAGCCTTTTTATCTATTTGTAAATGTAGAAAATGGAACAGCATACGGAGTGTTAGCTCAGAAGTGGGCAGAGCATAAGAAACCTGTGGGGTATTACTCAAAAATTCTGGATCCGGTTAGTAGAGGTTGGCCTACTTGTTTACAGGCTATTGTAGCTACAGCACTTTTAGTGGAGGAGGCTGCAAAAGTTACCTTTGGTGGAGACTTAAAGGTATATACTCCCCATGATATTAGAGGCGTACTGAAGCAGAGAGCAGAGAAATGGCTGACTGATAGCAGGCTATTGAAGTATGAAAGTGTTCTGTTGAATACTTCTAAGTTGGAATTGGAAGTAACTCATTTACAGAATCCAGCTCAGTTTTTGTATGGTGAACCTCAAGGAAGTGTGGTCCATGACTGTATACAAGTAATTAGTCTTCAAACAAAAATTAGAGAAGACTTGGAAGAGGAGGAATTGGACGTGGGTGAGAAGCTTTATATTGATGGTTCCTCTCGAGTAGTGGATGGACGGAGGAAGTCAGGTTATGCCATAGTAGATGGAGTTACTTTTCAGGTTAGAGAATCTGGATCTTTATGTAATACTTGGTCAGCTCAAGTATGTGAACTTTATGCCTTGCTAAGATCTCTTCGATTACTAGAAGGGAAAATAGGAACTATATTTACAGATTCAAAGTATGCCTTTGGGGTGGTACATACTTTTGGAAAACTATGGGAAGAAAGAGGATTAATTAATGCAAAAGGGAAAGGACTAGTACATGAAAGCTTAATCCGAGAGGTGCTGAGAGCTTTGAGAGGACCTAAACAGATTGCAATAGTGCATGTAAAAGGCCATCAGAAAGGATTAAAGGCAACAGCTAGAGGAAACAATCTAGCAGATGCTGAGGCAAAAAAGGCTGCTTTGTTGGTGATCAATGAACAAGAATTAGAAGGTGAACATGTCCCTAAGTCTTTCAGTACTCAGGAGAAAGAAAAGTTGTTACAAGTTGGTGCCAGAGAAGAGCAGGGAAAATGGTTGCTTCCAGACGGGAGAGAAGTGATTCCTAAGGGGTTGGCTTATAAGATTATGAAGAAACTCCATGAGCAGACACATTGGAGTACCCAAGCTCTAGTAGATCATTTTGGAAACAGATATGTATGTGTAGGAGTGTATAATGTAGCTAAAAAGACTCTAGAAGGATGTTTGATTTGTCAGAAGGTGAATAGAGGGTATCTAAGAAAAAGAGTTAAAGGAGGAAGGGAATTAGCCAAAAGACCATTTGAGAAGATTCAAGTGGATTTTACAGAACTGCCAAAAGTGGGGAGATATCGGTATCTATTGGTACTAGTAGACCATTTGACGCACTTTGTGGAAGCTTTTCCTACTGCTCGGTGTACAGCTAAGGTGGTATCTAAAATTCTATTAGAAGAAATTATACCCAGGTATGGGATAATGATCTCAATAGATTCTGATAAGGGAACTCACTTTACTTCGCGAGTAATTGAGGAAGTAACAGAGTTATTAGGATTCAGATGGGAATATCATACCCCTTGGCACCCTCAAAGTTCAGGACGTGTAGAAAGAATGAATGGGGAAATTAAGAAACACTTAACTAAATTAATGTTAGAAACAAAATTGAATTGGGTAAAATGCTTACCCTTAGCACTACTGCAAGTCAGAACTCAACCTCGGACAGATACAGGTATCTCACCTTTTGAAATGTTATATGGAATGCCCTATGAGTTTGGGACCCCAGTAGATCATCCAATAATGGAGGATGTGTATCTAAAAGAGTATATTATTGAATTAATGAAGAGGAAGCAAGAACTTAGAAGAAAGGGACTTGTAGCACAGAGACCCCCTTTGGATTTGGCAATACATAAAATTCAACCAGGGGATCAAGTGCTAATCAAAACCTGGAAAGAAACATCACTAACTCCACAGTGGGAGGGGCCCTTTGTTGTTCTCCTCACTACAGATACTACTATAAGGACAGCTGAACGAGGGTGGACCCATGCGTCACGAGTGAAGGGACCAGTAACCGGACCAGAGTGGAAAGTGACCTCAGACCCGGGAGACTTGCGGATAAGATTTGAAAAAGTAAAAGCCTACAAATGAATTTCGAGGAAGAAGCAGTAAGGCCTAGCTTATATACTTTCTTTCAGATACCTCAAGGACAGACTTTGAGGAAATCGTATTATGTCTCCTGGAACCTGGAAGGAATCCCTGAACAGACTGGAGGTTCGGGACTGTATAGAATTGTAGGAACACAGACTGTTTTAGCTCATTGTTGTGAAATAGAGACTGACATACCGGAAGGACAAAACCCACACGGAATACCCTGCATAAAACACCCAGGATCCACACATTATAGTTGGATACTCTGTAAGTGTAAAAAATGTGGTAAAAGGTGGCGCTGTGTGTCAATTAAGGGACAACCTTATTGTATGAGGTGCAGGACCAGTACAGCTGAGTCCATACGAGAACAATTGGCACAAGCTGAGATAATAAAAGCTTTTTGTGGTTGGGAGTGGTTAGTCCCAGAGACTTGGGAGGTATATGAAACTAATTGGAATAACGCATTAATAGAACTTTGCCGAGCAAGGTTCTCCTGGAAATCAGAGAGGCCTAGTCGAAGGAGTTACGTTGATTTGTTGGGACTAATTAATAGAGTTCAAAATTTGGAAATAGATGAGTCTCAATCCGAGAGATCAGTGAATTAAGTTATCCCTTGAAGAATATCTCTGCTGCCGAGAAGAATTTGAAACCCCGTTGTTCCCTGCACAGGAACAGACGGAGGAAGGCAGAGAGATACATTTGTAGGGATTTAAATAGAATCACTGAAAGCGGAAAAGGAGACTCAAGTAAAATGGGGCAAAATTTGTTGTTGATTGTTGAATTACTGGTTTTAATGACTTCTCTGGGACTTACCCATCAACCTTTCGAATGGACTTTGATCAGGGCAAAGGATTCTAAGGTTGTAAGAAAAGTGATAACTGCAGTATCTCCCAAATTTAATGTCACTGTCTGTGATCTATTAATGGCTACTATTCCCCAACAATGTGGAAAAGGTGGAGGGAAACCTTCAGTTACAGTGAACAAAGGAGCGACGTATTGGTGCCCCACTTCCAATCCGGGGAGGTCTTTTTGTAATTACCCAGGACATTACCATTGTGGGTATTGGGGTTGTGAAACGATTGCTGTTGCATGGAGACCGGAAAGACCGGATAAGTTTTTACGAGTACAATGGGGACCCCCACATTGCACACCCCCTGCCCTTGGAGGACTGGTACTCCCCAATGAGCCATCCAATTGTGAGTATTTGCAGGTTCAAATTCTCAATCATGAAGATCGAGGGTGGTTGACTGGTCGAACCTGGGGAGTGAGGTTGGATCGGTTGTATGCTGATCCAGGGGAATATGTAACTATACGGAAACAGCCATTAACAGCTTATTCTCAGTTTTTAGGACCAAATCTAGAAATAAAAGAATCCAGGGAGGACACTCTAGGAAAAGAGAAAGAAAATACAATCCTCACCAGACCAGCGCCACAGGAAGCAAAAGTTGTCAAAATCTCTCCCACTGAGTCGGTAACAGAGAACAGGGTATCCCAAGGAGAGGTAGGATCTATGCTAAATATGGTGGAAGCTTCATATAGAGCAATTAACTATACTGATCCAGACATGACCGAATCTTGCTGGTTATGTTATAATATAAAGCCTCCCTTCTATGAAGGAGTAGGGTTAAATCTTACCTTCAATTTTAGCACTGAAGATACCCCGAGTCAGTGCAGATGGGGAGAGAGGGAGGTCGGTCTCACTATGTCCCAAATTAGTGGGAAAGGGACATGTATTGGAAACGTATCCCCAAGTAGTGAAGATTTGTGTGGCACTAAAATAAATAAAGTAGAAGGGAAAAATAATAAGTGGATCATACCACATCAGGGTGGATGGTGGATTTGTTCTAAAGCAGGGTTGGTTCCGTGTGTGTCTGTCTCTGCGTTCGTAGGAAATAATGAATTTTGTGTTCAAGTTGCAGTTTTGCCTCACATGTTATATCGGACTGGAGAATCAGTTTTTGAATTCTGGGAGATGAATGAACATCGTATACAGAAGAGAGAGCCAATAAGTATAACTATTGCAATGCTTCTGGGGTTGGGAGCTACGGGAGCTGGAGTTGCCTCTCTGGTCCAACATAACCATGGCTTGACAGCTTTGAGAACAGCCGTGGATGAGGATTTGGATCGAATAGAGAAATCCATATCCTATTTAGAGACCTCTTTAAATTCCCTTTCGGAAGTGGTCTTACAAAATAGGCGAGGACTGGACTTACTGTTTTTACAACAAGGAGGATTATGTGTAGCACTGGGTGAAGAGTGTTGTTTCTATGCCAATCATTCGGGAGTAATTAAGGACTCTATGTCCAAATTACGTGAGGGAATTTTACAAAGAAAAAGAGAAAGAGAGGTCACTCAAAGTTGGATTGAAAATTGGCATAACCAGTATCCTTGGCTAATGACTTTGGTTTCTACTTTAGCAGGCCCCCTGGTAATGTTGTTTGCTTCTCTGATATTTGGACCATGTATCCTTAATAAGATAATAGCATTTGCTAGGGACAGAATTGATACAGTGCAACTGTTAACTATGAGGCAACAATATGAAGATATGAGTGGGAGGTCTTCTAATGAAGATCAAACCTCCCTTTCAGAAACAACTGGAGAAGCTATGACAATTAGATTTGACCAGCAAATTTATGAGGAAATTAGGAGGGGGGAATTGTTATAAGTAAAACCAGGAAATTTGCTGCTCAAAGGGGAGTTAATGGTGTTGTTGTTATATCTTACTAACCACATTGTTAAGAGTCATAAGTGATTGTGAAATCTCTAACCACGAGTCTGTTAACACAACGCAGAATGACTTGGTATTTTAAAGTTGTTTGTTATAAGCATATTACTAGAGACTAATATGGAGGGCAAGCCACGAGGAGTCCTATGATCAGATGACGTCTACCGATGGAAAATTCCAGGACCACGGCCACATAGAGACTATGGACTTTGATATTATTGGTGGAAGCCCCTCAGCAACGGCAAAGACCCGCGAACGGAGGAGCCAACCTTGGACTAGCCCGCGAAAGAGGAACCAGACAGAGGATAGCCCGCGAAAGTCTCACCAATGGACTATGGACATGACTTAGGGGGGTGGGACCAACGAGGGTTATAATTGCTGCTGTTTCGGTTCCCCATTTTGCGGACTGTGGTGGAGCAAGGGTTTCCCCCGGTCGCCCGGCTAGCCGCTTTTGCTTGTTAGCATTAATAAACCTGTTTTTACCTTGCAAACCTAAATTTTAGCCTCGTTTATCCATCACAGTTTGAAATACTTGCAAAAACAAGTGTTTGTCCAGAATAGTGATTTCAACACTGAGAATAATTTATGAAAACTTTTAATGAAAATAAGGAAGTTATAAAAACAATAGAGCACTGTGGGTTTTTTCTCCTGTGGTGCCTGTACAATGCTTCATGTTCCTTTATCTTATAAAACCAGCAGACCTGATCAATCATTAGAGAAACATGAAATGTATAAAACCATAGAGCTGCAGTCCTTTAACCCAATACGAAGCTTATACATTACGTTGCATATTTTTGTGCTTCCCCTCCCCTCCAACATTTACTTTTTTTCTCCTCTTCTTAAATAGAACTCCTAACACTTTTCATCATCACATTAAATAGACAAAATCCATAAAAGACAACTCCATCAGCAACTTTCACTCACTTCCTGGTAGGTCTTGCCAAGCAAAATAATCCACAGCTTGAGAAACCGAGAAGGGATTTCCCACAGCAAGAATATTCTGGCCATTGCTTTCCCTCCTTCCAGTTTAGAACCTAAGTAGCTTCAAATGTGACATAATAACTTTGAAAAGTGACCAAAAACAATGCTGGGTGTATGAAAATGCAGATCTGTGAGGTAGGAAAGGCTCTTGCACAAAAACATCAACTCCTAATGAAACTATTCAAGGGACTACAAATTCAGTAAGAATTCCTTAGAAATGGATCAGATTCTTACAGAAGAAGCTAAACTGTTGTGGGTCTCTTTCTTTCCTTTTAATAGAGTGAGGTCATCCTGCTTTCACTGGCCCTCTGTTTTGGGAAATGGATTATCTAGCCATTCTGCCAGATGCAGGAAGTTAACAAAATGAGAACTGTGTCTATGTATTCTTTCTATAGGCTTCCAATTATAGGGACATAGCTTTCACTTAGAAAAATAAGAATTGGCTTTCTGTGAATTTAAACTTAGAATTCAAAGTCATGTAAGAAAAATGAGAAGACCTTTTAAACAGAAAAATTAGTATGTACAATTAGTTAAGTATTTATCAGTGTTAATACCTTCTTGTTATTTTCAAAATATTAATTTCACTATTGTTAAACCAAGAAAGAAAAATCTTTCATGCCAGTCTACAGGGAATCAGGATTGGAATACATGTATTTGTCTTGTGTAGGAACTCCTGATCAATGGTGTGTGTGAAATGTTAAAAGGAATATGGAAGAGCAGATTTAATTTATATGTAGACACATATACATACATATATCTATCTATCTATATCTAAATCTCTGTATATATAAAGATCTCAGACCTACATGAAGGCTTGACTTATGTAGGAGAAACTGGGCAGAAACAACACGCGCTGGGCAAGGAGAAGGAAGGAAGCAACTACACAGACATATACTTTCATAATTCAGATATAGAGTCTAGAAAATATTTTTGCCCATAATATGCTGTAAAATATATAATTCTTTCCCACCCTTGAAATACTTCTGCCACTGAGAGAAGGGCTTTTGACCAAGTATTTGACAGATTTCTCAAGGAACACACAAATCTTTCCTTTTTTCTTTAGGTGTTAAAGAGAAAAGCATTCACATATGCAGAGATCCATCCTCTTATTCAGGTTTCTGAGTGGAGGGAAAAAAAATCCAACAGGCTATTTTTTATTTGATTCTTTTGATAACTTATTGTCCCTTCTCCTTCCCAAAAATTCACCTCAGTACCAAATATAATTACCTTAAATTATTAAGATTTTATGAAAACATTTCATAAACATCTTCAACTAAACACTTCATGAACTCTTAATTTGGAAATGGAACTTGCACCAACATTTGCTCAGGAATCTGGAGAAGATACATAAGTGGTACTCCAGTATCACTCCAAGAAATTATATATTCTTGAGAAAGAACAAAACATTGCATATCCATGTCCTAAATCAATTAGCATTAGCTTTGACACTCCTTTTTCCAGATTTGAAAGTCCTCTGGTCATGTCCCAGTATATCATGAACCCCCCCTCTCCATTAGCAGGGACAGGTAACACCCATAAAATGGTTCTGTGATGCAAGCCACGGTCACTGTGGAGGACGAGGAAAACAAATGGAAAAGATTCCAGAAGTGGCGCGAGATTTACAGAAACTGAAGGACAACAGAAAAAGACTCAATCTTAAAAACACATATGGATTGCTAATGCATGCTTTTTATTAATGTACCCCAGTTATTTCTAATTGCATGGACATGTCCAGACTTCTTAGCTCCCTCATGTTCCTGTTCCTCACACTGATTGGCTAAGATTTGCCACAGTGTGGAGTAATTTGTTATTGGTCCCTGATTGTCTTATTTTCCCTCTTACCTTCCCTGGTTTATTCCCTGTTTTGTTTCCTCACCTGTGTGTCTCACGTTCCACCTACTTTTCCAGTACCTTCCCCAAGAACCCTATACAAGCCGGTGCATCCCCACAATAAACTTGCGATAGCTCCAGACCTTCTACATTGTCAGAACCCCTCTGTGCTGTTGTCCTCCCAGTTACAAACCCAGACCATGGCAGGTCACAGTTTAAAAAGTGTTTAAAAAGAGTAATAAAACCAGTAATAATTTAAATTAAGATATTTTTTCTCTCTATCCATCATTACCTGTCCCAGCCCATGAGAACTGACCATCACTAAGAAGTATACTGAAGCCAGTGCCTAAATCCTTTTCCCATGATACTTGTAGGAAGTAGGTTGCTTCTGGATCAGAAACCAGATGAATTCTGTTCAGAATCTTCTCCATTTTCCCAGCACCTGTTTAAAAAGATAATCCTGTTATTTCCCATGGGGTGCTTAACAGCTTTACATAACTAGTATGGGAGTTGGAGGGGGAATATACAAACTTAAGCATGTTTGTAATTTTATTCTATTTTCTTTCAGTTTGTCAGAGATATTTACAAGCAGAAAACTGAACTATAATAAGTAAGGTTTAAAAGAACAGTGTCAACAATTACATATATTTGAATTAAGAATTCAAATTAAGAAGCTGTCAGAAATTACAATACACAAGCACTCTCCCCACGGCTCTGTTTTTAACTTGCCATCACCCAACGTACAGCACATTTAATATAATTCCAAGTAATCAATATTCATCTGGAAGACTATCACATGAAAGCTGCACAGAGTGTAGCAAATGGCAGCAACCCAGAGAAAATATTTTAAACACTGGGTGCAGTGGAAAACAAAATATATGATGTTACGGTGAATTTTTGCTCTACAGCAAAGTAACCTGGTAACCTGTGCTTGACATAAGACCTTCTAAGAATTTAGAAGGTATATATATAGTTTAATATATTATATATATATATATATTTATATATAGTCTAATCTGACTGAGTGATGTGACTGGTAAAAGGCTACATGTTCACTCACACCCTAAAAATAGCATGTAAAAGCAGCAAAAACCCAACTGAGGTATTTAAACTGCATCTACTGAGTACAATGATGCTCAGACAAGTTGGGTACGAAATGCTCTATCAAGTTTTCCACCTAAAGTGTAGCAATAAATAACCATGATCAAGATCAGTTCAGGCCCTGAGGGGACTGTTCTTCAAGTGGTAGTAGAAGGAAGTTCATTCTTTGCTCATGGACACTGAGAGCCAAATCTAGATACAGATTTAACTACATCAGGCCTCACCAAAACTTGGCATTTTCATGTTGGGAGGAACAGTTTTAACTGTAGTTGACTGTCTTGTGCCTGATTTGTCCAGCTCAGCACCCATCAATATTTGAAACTCATCCCAGACAAGTGCACAGTATTCAAAAGAAGTAAAATATGTAGCACTTCGTTTTCAAGTATAAAGCTTTACTATTTACATCCATAAACCACCAGTGTGTTTACTACTACAGATGTCATACTCCAGCTTTCCATTCCCTGCAAATGCACCAGAAACTAAAATGTTACTCAAAAACAATATAGAAAAATTAGTTTCTGTCAAAAAAGAAAAACAAGTTTTCCATTTTCATCATCAAGCAAATGGTCACTTCCAAAAACCTACGGCATGTCTGTGCACCTCTAAGCAAGAAAAAAAATTAAATATTTGGGGCATGGACAACTGGAACAATGCCTTTGCAATTAGTGATTCTAGAAATACAGACATTATAAAGATCTGTAGGGCATTAAGTGGCTGGACATGGGTCAATAAAAGAGCACAGGGAAGGAAAAACAAGTAATTGATAAAGCATGCTCAAGCACACAGACATGTATTTTCCTTTGCCTGTCAGATTCCCTTTTGGTTTTTGCTTATTCTGGAAAAATACAATGAAATATTTTCATAGAAGTCCTTCTCTGAAAGACAGTGTTTTTAAAAAGACTCCAATTACTCTTTTTTACTTAAAGATTGTAGCACACAACCCCGACAGACAGCACTCAAGGTAATGAAGCATATATACAGTCCAATGGGGAGTTTTTGCTTGTTTTATTTGATTCTTATGACAAAGCAGAGTATCATTCAGTGAAAACCACCTGCACCAGAGGCTTTGTTGTTAACACAGACTGTTTATAACAGAAAACAAAGCAACAGAGTTAAATTTTCTGTTTATATAAAGGCAATGAAGTGTCAGTCCTGAGTCAGAAAAACAGGTCAAGAGTCATACAGCAAAGAAATCTATTTATTTATTTATTTAAAGATGCACTAACAAGGTTTTTAAGGCCTGAGACTAAATTAATTTGATATAATAATATCCCATGACTTCACCTTCACACAACAGTATTTTATTGGAGTGATATGGAATAGGTAAAAATTAAGATTCTGTTTAGACAACATCCGTAAGCGATCACCTACCAGTGTAATGGAAGAGCCAGTTAATAGAGCTGAGAAAACCCCCCACACAACTTGTACACCTGTGGTAAAGCACAACCTCAATGAAAACACACTGAGGAGACACACACGAAGCAGAAGAATGTTTCAAAATAAATGCAAAATACAGTTTTCCTGCTTTTCCATGTTTTACTGTGTCTCTGAACAATTCTCCCAGACAGTATAAAATGAAGATACTTTCTCCCAGCTTTTATCTCCTCCAGTGTGCTCACTGACCTTTTGAAAGGAGTATTTCTTATTACTTCATGTTTAGAAACTGCCTCACTAAGCAGAGCTCAGCTTGGCTTCACATCCCCAAGCACTCAAGTGTTCCAACCCATCAGCAAAAGCTTAAGGGTTCTTGGCTGTATATAATGACTGTTATATACTTCTCCTCAAGAGGAGGAACAAACCCTCTTCGTGAAAATCAGTCTGACCAACACAGCACATAGAAACAACACTGCAAACAATAATATTGTACTTTACTGCTTTTGCAAAAACCTGTTTGTAAACAAAACAATAATGAAAACAACAAAAAAATAATATTTCCTTTTCCACAAGCCTCCCAACAATAAAACTCTTTCAGAGTTTAGTGTAGTGTTGAGTAAATGGATATACTGCATACAATTAAAGCATGAATACAGGAAAAAATAGCAAAGGAGCTACCTAACTACTTAGCAGCTAGCAATTACCACTATAGAAAATAAAAATACAGACATTAAAACAGAGCATGTTCCTTACTAATTCACCATAAGGTGAATGCACCCATTCTCAAGGCAACAATAGATGTACACCACTGTATTTCCGAAACAAGAACTTCAGACGGAGGAATTTGGAAATTGGACATTCTACCTACATTCCAGTAACTCTATTTAACATCTTTAAAAGATGTCTTGCTCTATACTTCAAGAGCTGACACAAAACACTCTCCTCATAACTAATCCATCCCAATCCACCACCTGCTCACTAAAATTCCCTCATCACCCCATCACCTTCCAACACGCCAAGTGCACGTGACTCTTCACCGACTAACTACTTTCACCAAGTCAAAATTTCATTATGAAATAGAGGCAAAAATACAAAGTTGAAACTTTAGGACGTACTTTTCCTTTTGCATCTTTGTGTGGGAAGGTAGGAACTGTATTAATGCTCAAAATGGTTAAAAGAGCCACCTCAATTTTGTGAGTCATACTATTTACCAGTCCAGCTGCTGGCAAAGATTGTCAAAAAACCATAAAATCATTGCATAAAAATAGATTATGTTTTTATTGCTACCCAGTAAACTAAATTATTGAAATCAGACTCATTATTGCAGTCTAAAGAGCACCTCTGAATCCATTAGGCCAGAGGAGTACTTTCAAGTGCCACTCGATATTCACCAATGCCATGTCTGTGGGCTCTTTCCCTTCACTGTCTCAGTAAAATGGGAGCAGCCAGTACTTTCTTCCTTCTCTTGATTATGACAAAGAAAACCTGCACAACACTGATGTGCTAGGGCCATAAGAAAGCCAGTGTTTTACTCCTGAAGGGCACAGAGGGTCACACAGAACACCAGCACCTCACCATGCCAGAGCCAAGGACCCAAGACTTGCAGGTGGGAATAGTCAAGTCCCACCCCAAATCTGTAAATCAGAGGCTTTACTGAGGCCTTTGAATAGTTGGAGATTGAGCTGTTTATCTTTAGCACTTTGTCCCTTTGCTCTTTGGCTTCCATAATCTACATTAGGCAATGTTTCTTTCTGAGGATAAATCACTTGTTGGCTGGTGCCTCTGCTCTCAGAACAAACACTGCACACAGGGGCTTCTGAATAAACAAGACACTTTTAAAACTGGTTTACAAAGGATTTTATATGTTGTTTTGGATAGCACTAAGCCCACACCAAAAGCCAGATCTTTCAGGCTGCTCCAACACAGCATCATTGATAATATTTTGAACTTCAGCACTTTATTTTTTTTTCCTCCGTGCAGACTAATGGCTTTTTTTTTCAAATTGCTTGGGTTGCAGGTGTTTCAAACCTCAGCAGCTATGCATGAAAGGCTACTTACAGACCAGAAAGAGCTACTATGTCTTTGAAAGGGAGCAATTAACTTAAGTGCTTTCTTATTAAGAAAAATGGGAGTTCAGAATAGAAGACCATACACTGCTATTAAAGCCTAAAGTTTGATCCCTTCTGACCAGAACAACTACTAACCAGAATCCAATAATCAGAAGGAAGTTAATAGTTAATTTATAATCAGAGAACAGGTGCTGTTCAGGAGATCCTACACATACTTACAAGCCAATAATTGTAGAGTTAAACCAATCAAGAAAAACTCAAGATTGCTTTTAAAGATTAAAACTAGCTATCACTATGTTTTCTAACAGGAGGAAATAAGATAATACCTATATTTATGCATATTTCCAGTTATATATTTCACAGAAATTGATATTCTCGTGTGTTAATTTAAAATTCCATTAACTCAAATACTTCAAGAGAAAGAGCATTAAAAGACCTGCCAAAAACTTCAACTCTGACTGCATTAATCTTAGAACTACTATTGATTCAATAGAGACTTCCTCTTCTTTCTTTTCTTTCTGAAAGAACACGATTGGGCCAACAAACATGAAGAAAACAATACAGCATCTTTCCTGTCCCATCTCACAAAAAGCTTCCCATCCCCTTGGCCACAATACTTGTCTGACACTGAAGAAAGCCTCAATAATAGCCTTCATCTGTAACTTAAAGATAAATCTGAATACCAAAGAAGAGAAGAAAAAATTAGAAAGAGCTCTTTTTTCTAATGAAATTTAGGGGGCTAAGGCATCTTTATATTACATGCATCCTAAATTATATCTAGTGGTTCTTTTAAATTCACTCTATATTAAAGCACAAGGATTACAACTTTGTCAATAATGCAGCTCTGTCTTGAAGATAAATGAACCAAAAATTGGTACTGGATGTAAAGCAGTGACTGAGCGGGTTTATAACTTTGTGCAGGAAAACGGGCCATTTTAAAAATTTGGTCCTACATGGCAATATTTGATCAAGAGATCATAGACTGAACTAAAGAATCAAGGCTCACATGGCTCATATTTGCATTGCTTCCTTCCCACTGTTTCATGGCAGCCACAAAAGGATTGGAAACATACACATACTTTTCTGTGCAATTGTTCCCTCCAAAAAAAACCAAAACCAAAACAAACAAAAAAAAAGAACAAAAAAAAAAAAAAAATCAGTCTTGAGCTTGTCAAACCCCATGGGACAGCAAGATATAGAAGATTTGCCACAAAAGATGTGGAATCCATGATAAGGAACAACCCCTGTCAGGCTTATTTACTGCAGTCACCAGCTGAAAAATGAGGAGAAACAGAAGGAAGCAGACAGTCAACAACCTTTATAGTACGAATCTTACTAAAAAGCCTTGATCTTAATTGTAGCCTGGAGGCAAAGCCCACCCTGGTGTCTTTCATCCCATTGAAGTCTCAGGCCTAACCCACTACCCACTCCAGGCATCCAGACTTGCCAAGTTTACTTATGAGCATCTACATCAAGCTGTAAGAAGGTTAAAAAAAAGGCCTTCAATGTATTAAAATAAATACCCAAGTGGGCAATTATACTAGTAAATACTAGCAAATAAGGGAATACCCAGATAGCTTTTTATAAAAGGGACAAACCTTTCTTTTTCACCCTTTTCTACCAATTCTTCCCAACGCTAACAGTTCAGTGTGCTGGCAAATCCTCACTTTCTAACATCCAAAGATAAACCAGGATACACTGTTATAAACCTGTAAACAATAAAATAAAAATAAAATAAAGTCATGCAATGAACACATTTACTGATGAAAAGGTTAATATTTGTGGCAAAGTTACTAAAACGTGTGCATAGAAGGGAGCAAAGATGAAAGATAACAACCAGACCAGCTTCCAGAGGGCAGATCTGGGATGAAGAGTCAGCAGGCGTGTCTCAGAGAACCAGACTCCCCTACTTCACTGCCTCTGGGAGACGCAAGTCCCAACAAATCCTTTATAACTCCACCCTGGCTTTCCAAGGTCCTACCAAAGCCAAGGGTGGTATAGTGCCTCCCCTTGAAAACCTTAGGCTATTTATTAATAAGATAAATGTGTCTCCAAAATAACTCACCTCCCCACTTAAATTAAAAAAAAAAAAAAATCAATATAAGCATATATCAATCTCCCCCATAATCTCTCTGAAAAGACAGCATTAAAAGTGTTACGAGTTTTGCAGATAAAAAGCAGAAAAAGGAAATTGTGCCAGATGCAACTTCTAAGCCCAACGTATTCAATCAGTAAAAACAAAGATATGACAATTTCAAGTATCTTAGACGTATTTTTAAAACATCTCTGCAGTGCTCAGTAATACAATATTATGTATTTGAAGACAGTACAGTTGAGGAATTTTTTAGGGAGGGGGAAAAAAAAAGCAGCATGTTTTAATCACCCTTTGTTCATCCCAAAATACTCCAATATGTATGTTTTTTGATGTATATTTGGATAACGCAGTAGTCTGGTTGAGGTATCATCTGTTTTCCAAAACACTGCCTTCTTCAGGATTAAATATTATCAGGATATTCAATAGAAATCTGTCCCACAGACTTCCTTTGTTTTCTACTTTTTAGTCCCCATAGTACGATCTCGCTGTTTCTGTAAACACATTAAACTTAACGTCACTGAGTGACAGATTCCACTAAAATCTGCCTTTTTCTTTTTTAATTTTTCAGTCTACTAAATTCAGTACTACTGAATCCACAGTAGCTCCATAGGCAAGAGTAATAAGTCTGAAACAAAGATAAATGAAACAAAGAAATCAGTGTGTCAGGTAAATACGTATGGGCATAATTCTGCATGTAAGGTTTCTGAGGAGTTTTGAAAAATTGAGCCCAGGAACCTGGAAAAATAAGTTTCACCAAATGTAGCCCCTTCAGTGGAACAAGGGCAGGTATAAATGTGAAGTCTTACACATCCTCCCACCTCTACACCTAAGACTTTTCAAAGAGATGGATTATTTTAATTTCACGTCCCTGTCAAATTAATAATAAAAAATGGGCTCAGGCTCTAAATTGCTTCATCTTGCTAAACTGTTTCCTAAGGCACTTTCTTTGAAGAAAATTCTGCATTACCCAGTCTTCATTTAACGAAAGTTTTATTATGTTTTTCTTTCCATTCACTATTTATCTACTGGTAAAAGGCAACATTGAGCTCCCTGAAAACAAAGAGCTCACATTACTTAAATTTATTAATTTAAAAATTGTAATTCACTTTGTTTTGTCTGACCCACATGGAAAAATAATTCACAAGATGTTCACAACAAAATGAGTTATTCACTTTCGATGCACTTAAATTTAAGTGCCATGTTTGTCACTTGGCATTGAACATTAATTACTTTTCTGATGGATTAGGCGGAGTTTGAAGATAAGGTAAAGAGACATATACACTGAATACCTATTTCACTTGTTTCCACAGGCACCACTGTAGCTTAGGCTTTGTGATAATGCACATTTAACCAACCAAAACACGGCAGAAGCACCAGTACACAAATCCCATAACCTCACTAAGCACTGAGCAAACAAGAACCTTTGTTCTAAGAAAAAAAAAATATATATAAAAAAAATAAGGACACAGTTCCACAGAAAATTCAGTGGCCACTGAATTTACACCCTGAGCCATCATTTATGAATCTATGAGCTTGTAGTGAATCAGAACTTCAAATAAAAGCCACATTCAGGGAAGAAAGAACCCACAAAGAGCTTCACAGGAGTCCCCTGTGCTTTTTGCATCTTAAGTTCTGTACATAAAAAACATAAAGCCTCTCCAGACACATCAGCTCACTGCTCTTCCAAGCAATTTTCATAACTCTTTCATGTGATAGATCTTACTGTGGACTAGGAAAAAAAGAAAAAAAAACCAAACCAACAAAACCCTGCTCAAAAATTTAACCCTTACCCAAGACACTTAATGCCAAGTGGGGAGTCTACTTCAGGAAACCAGTTTTTCAATATTAGTTTTGCCTCACATCTACTAAAGAATTCTTTAAATGAAATCTGCAGATGACACAGTAGGGGCACACCAGGGGAAAAATGCCACTGACACTTGAGCTGAGAGGGCAATTAAGCACTCATTAGGAAGCATAAAACTGCTTTGACACTCTACCAATTACACAGAGTTTTGAGATCTTAAAATGTAAAGTCTGAAGCACCAGAGGGGTCTTAGGGTGCTGTGTTAAGGATGTAAGCCTGAGAACTCAATTAATGCAGGTACATGAGCATAAAAAAACCAAAAGTGTTTCGTGCACAAACTCTTTGTGCGCAAGAGTCACTTCTCCACAGCCCAAATAAACTGTTTCAGTGCAGTTTTAGGTAAAGTACTCCCACAATACATTTTCTTCTCTTTCAATGTTACAAGTTCCCCTTTTTTTTTTTACCATCAAAAGGGCCAAAATCACAACATGAATCTGAAATTAATGAAATATATATATACAATATAAATTATATAAGTATATATACACACTATGCAAAATATACACATACTATACATATACTATTAATATATACTTAAAAAATTCCTCCTCTACCTCTTTATTTGAAGAAAATTAAAAAATATTTTTAGGATAGTTAAGGTTAATAAAACAAATCCGTGGAACAGCCAAGATTTTAAAAAACGATGAAATACAAAGCACATTTTTCACCTATAGACTTTGATCAATACAGAGGGGAAAAAAAAAAACCTTTTCTCTAATACTTCCTTCAGGAGATTTAAGTCAAGTAGGTTCATTACCAAAAAACACAGGATGCTTCACCTGGTTCCTTGCCTCTTATCTCCAAAAATAATTATGTCAGCTTTCACCAAAATTAACATTTCTGCCCAGGCCATGCTGGACTCTGCAAATTAATGACCAGTTTTTCAGTTGGGGTAATTTAATTTAATATAAGCCCACACAACACAGTTGGCTGCCTCCAAGGACTGTTGTATCTTTGCTCATTGGCTCAGCCCAGGCAAATCCCTCCTCAGGCTTTTGTGAGGTTTCCACCTCAGGCCTGACACAGCTGAAGGCATTTGGAAAGCCCCAGGCTCCCTCTTTCCTGTCCAGCTACTGTGCTGAAAAGGGTGGCCACTATAACCCCTTTGTAGACTTGTAAACAAACAATCCTTTTCATAATCATTAGAATAATTTTGAAAATACAATCAAAGAACCACCAAAACCAAAAACCAAAACAAACAAACAAACAAAAACAATTAAATGAAAAAAACACCAAAAAACAAACCAAACAAACAAAAACAAATGCAGGCTGTGATAGGATATATAGCCTCACTCTTCCTCTAATTATTTCTGCCCCAAGATAGCCAGCAATTTGGCTGATCAAGGGCACAAGAGTTCTCAGTCTCTCTGCTCTTAAAATCACACAATATCGGTCTCCCTTTGTTACTATTTATTTCACAATCTCTGCTCTATCTCTCTGCTCAGTTGGAGGATACCTCTTCACAGAAAACTCAGCTGAGAGTCTGCAGAGGAGATGCAGAAATATCCAATATTTTTCCATGTTTTGCAAATTTGGCTAATTTAATCAAGAAATATTTTGTGAAAACAATAATCTGCCTTAAGAGACAGTAACACCGGAGGCCCTTGCCCAGGCACACACATACAATGAACCTTTTTTTTTCCAACTTGGAACTTTTCCTGTAAGACGTGTTCTTCGTGTTGATCAGATTTGACACTGTTAGATCAGCAAACAACAGTAATTTGTTTTGTAATTATTTTCTACATTTTGCCTGAGCTTGTGTCAACATGGTACCAAACATAATTCAGTAACTCCTTTGTGTCTTGACATATCTTGGACACCAGTCCTTTACCATTACATTATCTGATACAACATTCCACTCATAATCTTCAAAATCACAGTAGGTTTTTACCACCTTCCCTTTTTTTCCACCTCATCTACAGAGATAAAGGAGGTGGGGAAGACTAAAATCCACAAAGACATCCTGATTATAATTAGCAGGAGTTGAAAGCCACTGTTTCTTAACCAAGGAAAAGGATACAGCTCAAGTCAGGGATGGAACTAGAGCAAACTCCATTTTTGGTGGGAAAAAATATCATTTCAAGACCCATTTAATAGCATTTTACAACAGCTGTCTAAATTAGACTCTTGGTTATCTAATGAAGTTAGTCCAGATCATAACTCATGCACATGATTTTATGGGTTCCACACAGTATCAACAAGCACCCCACATTTTTGCCAGGTATATCAGTGAAGAAATCACAGCTGCTTCCTGTTAACCTTGAAGAATCAGATAATAACTGGAGTCCCTGAAAACCTCACCCCAGACTCTGGGTGATTCCACCCACTCTTCAAGGACCTGTGTTGCTTTTTCATCTGGGGCTCCTGAGCTCTAACATAACCCCTTAAAAAACAACCTCCACCTACTGCTAATCCCTAGGTGACAAGAGCGAGGGATTAAAATTTCTCATTCTCAAGTGGCACTGAAAGATAACAAGCACATCAGAAACAGGCACAGAGACAAAACAGCAAGTGACCCTGCAGGACTCATGGCACATCCATGAGCACAATAATCTGCAAGGGATTTCACACAGGAGCTCACCAGAAACTACTGAAGTAGGAAAAAAGTATAAAAAATTTATCATATAGGGCATGTTTGTAAACAAAACTACACTAGAGGAACCTAGCTGACAACCTGTCTTCAGTCACCAAAAGAATACACCGTGTTCATGATGAGGACACAAAGCACCTTTAAGACAACAAATTCAAAAATTCTTGGAGAAATGCAATTACAGACAAGAGGATGAAAACTGCTGCAAGGGGAAAACAGAGAACAGGAGCCAAAATACAAGAGACCAGAGCAGACTGTGGTAGCCTCCAAAGCCAGCCTGGATTGTGCCTATGGAACAACAGAAGAAGAAAATATAAGAAGCTGCTAATTAAAAAAACTAGCCTCATTAAGGCGTTATTTATGTTATTAAGGCTTCGGCAGCACAGGGCTCACGCCCGCAGATGCCGGAGGGCGAGTAGAGACCTCCACACCCCGAATACAACCACCAACAAAGCAAGCAACCAAAAAAAACACCAAAACCCCCACATTTTTGACGTTGAATAAAACACGTGGCTGCGGCGTGCCCGGAGGCGCAGGGCCGGGTGAGGGTTTACTGATCGCCGTTATAGCGTTATCCTGGCACGGGACAGCGGCGAACCCCGTGGATCATCCCGTGGATCACCGCTCGGATCCCCAATCCAGGTGCCACACGGCCCAATCCCCCCAAAGGGCAGGGCGGGACGCCGAACCTACCTCCCGCTCCACCGCTTCCGCCTGCGCCCCGGCAGCAAATCAGTGCCACGTCCACCCCTTCGTCCCGCCCTCCGCCTGCTACTGCGACCAATCGCAGCGCCTTCTTGCTCCATCAGCCAATGGCAATGGCGGCCCCGCCCCAGGCTGTGAGGACGCGCTGTGCGCGGTTCCGCCCTGCGAGCAGGGCCGGAAGGTGGTGTGGCGCGGAGCGGCGCTATGGTAAGCGTGGGTCCTGCTCCAGTCCTGGGTGATCGCGGGCCTTTCCCGCACGCCTGCCTCCGCACCGGCAACGCCGCATACCCACGGACCCCCTGGGCCTGGCGGCGCCACAGGGAGGCCGCTCACGCCGTAGGCCGTGGGCGCGGAGCGGCCCTGAGGCTTTGCCGGCTGTGAGGCGAAGCGGGCATTCGTCACGGTTCTGGGTGAAAAAAGACACGTTTTGTGTCTGTGACGGCCCGTGCGGGGTAGGACAGGAGGATGTTTGTGTCTTTCACGAGTTCGTGACGTCATGATGGTGGTGTAGGACGCAGGAGTGGTTGCGTGACGTCATTATGTGATCTGTGACGTCACGCAACTTGGACAGTGAGCTGAACCCTGGCATTGGCTGCTTTCCATTTGTGGGTACCATCAGAGACCAAGGTTCATCTACTGTTGAGAACTGTTCATGGTCTATATAACTTATGTTTTAATATATATAAATATATATAAATTATATAAAAAGTAATATATAAATTATGTCATCAAATTATTATAATTATATATAAAATAATATCTAAATTACATAATGAAATTATATATAAAATAGTAAAACAATACAAATCTAAAGTATTATGCATATAAGTATATATTAATATATTTTGTATGTTTATAAATTTATACATGATTATATAAACACATGCTTATATGTGGTTATTTTATGTATAATCCATATATAAAATATACAGATCCATGTAAGTCTGTAATTAAACATATGGATATACTTATATATTTTAATATATATATTTATTTATATAAAAGCCATACACGTAAAGAGTATGTTTGTGTATATATATGTGTGTACTCATTATAAATGTGTGTATATGTATGTGTGCTCATTATATAGAGAGTTGGCCTAGAGGGACTTCGTTATTTATATTTTTCCTGCTTTTTTTCCCCATTCTGTGGACAGATAATACAAATGAGGGATTTGCATTTGTGTCATAGTTAAGAGCTGTGCGGTGATATACTTTTTCTCAGGCAAGGTTTATGTACTTATATAGGTATAATGTTTATACAAGTGGTTTAGATACACGATTTTAAAATTAAAAGGGAAACCAAAGGAATAACTGAGTCAAGATAAGTTTTCCCTGCGTAAAATTGAAGTTTGTATGTAGCATTGTTTTAATATGGGAGTTTTCAACATTTTTCTGATAATCACAGGATGGCTTAGGTTGGAAGAGGCCTTTAAGGATCCCCTGGTCCTCCCCTCCTATGGGCAGGGATCACCTTGTATTTCCTGTGTATTTACAGAAAAGATAAATATCTCTTGAACTTTCTTATAGCTCAGTGCAAAAACCAAAGGGTTCCTTTTTTTCCTTTCCTGTGCTCCAGACCTTGTCACCAGCAGGAAATTACTGGGCGTTGCTCACCTGAGCATTCCTTGGCAGATCTTTTAGATGAACCTGTTCTAATCTGTGTCTTCGAGCAGTGAACAAAGGGAGTTCTTTTGTGATAAGAGGCATAAATTATCTCAGGATATCTAAAACACACATGCAGAAAACAAGACATCCCTAGTCAGTGCCTTTAAAAGTAGATATACTGAATTATAACAGCACCTTTCTGTTGTTCATAGTACCTTAAAGGGTTTGAGATGGTACAAAAAGGCAAGAGAACTCAGTGAGACATTTCTGTTTCTCACTTAAACTCTTAAATACAAGTATTTAATAATATTATTATCTTATATCGTTTATATGTTTATATATGTTTATATGGGAATATATGGGTTTGCATTATATATAAAATATATATACAAATAATTAAAAAATAAATACTAATGCTCATCTCTAACAAGATTATGGCAAGTACATGAGATCTTGTGAGAATTACTTTCTCCACTTGTCCATGTTCCCTGTTCCTCTGTGGTGCTTCAAGGACCCTGAAGCAAAAGAATCTTCTAATGATTGGTTTTCTCATGATTTTATGTTGAGGGAGGTGAAAATGAGGTTACTCAGACTTTGTGGAGTTTTAATTTCCTCAGGAGGAGCAACAACCCTCATGGCATATCCAGGATTTTGGGTTCTCCGTGGTGCCACCTCTGGTCTCATGGCTTTTTAGGGGAAAAAAAGACACTTTTAAGCTTACACTTGACTGTGAGGGAGAACACAGCTGCTCCTCTTCATAGCAAAAACGTGCAGTTGCAATCAAACAAAATTTGATGATGGAGAAAATTTTAAGAGTTGAAGAAAATGTCACAAAAATGGCTCCTTCCCCCTCACCCTGTGGTTGGGCCTGATCTTGGCCCCACATTACTGCCCAAAAAATCAGTTTGAGACGTTTCCACAAGTACAAACATTTCTGTCATGATCTTTGTTGCTCTCTTAGGTTGGTGTTTATGGAAGGAATGGGAATTGCTCATAGAGCCAATTGTAAAAACATTCATTAGTAAATATTATTTCAAACCAAGCTGTCGGATATAAGCATACCAGAACCCGAGACACTGTCCTGCAAAAAGAGCTCTCAGGCGTCTTCAAGTACGAAGTTTTGTGTTTGGCTTATTGAATATTACAAGAAGTAATCAATCCTGGTTCAGATTTCTTTTTATCATGGCTGAAAGGTACATGGGTTTAAAAACATCTGCTACATCTGATAGTCTTAAGGTGTCTTTGTGGTGTGAAAATATGTAACTTGAAGTGTTCAGTGTAGATATTTTTATCCTATAATTTCAGAGGAATATTTTATTTCTGTAATTGTAGAACAGAGGAAATTATTTCTTCTGCCAAAGTGAGATGCATCTCTTGATCTCTTTTGGGAAGAGTAGGATGCAATGAGTCTGCTTTTACAGGTTTTCCCAGGAATGGCACTGGTTGTGAGAAACCATTTCTTTGCTGAACAATTAAATTTAATTACACAGTTTAATTTTCTGATTGTCTTGTGGCCATGGAAATAAAGTAGAAAGTCCTGGAATTTTTTGAAAAATATTACCTGTCTTCCAGACGCTAAATATTCAAACCATGCACCCAAACTCTGCCAAACAAGAGACCTGCAGAGAACCTGCCCAGTGCCATAGGACATCAGACACTTAACAGAGTCTTTCATGGCTTCTTGTCTAAGTATGTTCTTTCCTGATACGGAATTGCTTGCTTTTCATGTTTGAGAGGGATAGTTCTATTATTAATGAAAAGAAAAGAAAAAGTAAATAGTATATATAAAGTATTTGTGGTTCTGTTTTTTAATTCTTAAGTAAATTAGAATATGTTTCTTTTTGAGAACTTAGACTTTCTCCCGTGTCCATGTGCACATTCCTGTAGCACCTTCCGTTATAAAATCATATTTTTTGCACGCTGCTTTTCTTAGATTGAGGGTGTCACCTGATTCAAAATGTGCTTTATAATGATTCTTATTTCTTCCATTCACATACACAGCTTTTATAAGTTTACCCAGTAAATTTTGAGGTAAACTAAGCAGTGTGGTGGCAACTTCAGAAAGGAGAGCAGTGTGGGAGATGTCTTTTTTTATATATGTATATAACTTTTTTCCTTCTGTTTCACTACACTTTAGAAATCTTCTATGGTTTTTAGGGAAGGAAAGGTGAAAGAGCTACAAATCAAGGTTTACATCCTTTCAGAAAGCTCTGTGGCAATGACTGAATATGATCTGCACCATTGATAGTTACAGAAACTACTAAATATGTTCTCTTACTCTGGAGAACATACTTAGCTTTAGCATCCTAAATAGAAGGGTTATATAAAGTATTCCTTTTGTCTGATGGGGGAAGAGAGTGGAGAAAAAAAGTCTCCGTAAAATTGCAAACTGTGTAATCTACAAAGGAGACCTAGGGGAAAAGACACTTTAAGTTTTTACTGACATATCTACCATAATTCTGTGGTTTTTGAGTAAATGTCTGGATATACACACCTTTGTGTTACATTGACCCTGATAAAAGAGGTTAATAGTCACTTTGAGTTTTATTGTAAGACACTTTTATGAAATGCTCTGTCTGCTAGAGGCTTATACCAAAAGTTCAATTTTCGAACAAGATAGTGGGGAAAAGAGGAAGGAATTCAAGTGAGTGGAATTTCAGCATCGTCATCTTGAGGTGTCTTTTCACTGTTGTTCTTTGGATTTGAATTGCAGTAAGAAACCTAAATGTGTTAAAATTAAAAGAGAGCTTTTATGGGAGAGGGCAACTGTTTCCATATGTTAATTAATTGTTTAAAGAGATGGCTAGTGTTTTAAATAGATATATTAGTCTTCAGTTGACTGAAAAGCTTACATGTCAGTTCCTACATGCTGAGCTTGCCATTTAAATTAGCCAATGTACTCCTTCAATAAATGCCTAGGGAAAAGATTCCCTACTACTCTAATCAAAGCTTAGCCTAAATTTTATGAGTCCAGAAATACATATTTTAGACAGAAATGTGAATGACGGTTAAACTTTATGCTTAAATTCTTTGGAAACTAAATACTGAGGAGAATATGCTGTAAATCCAGAGTAAAACTCCATATTTGTGTTGGAACAACCAGTAACTGCAATTGACCAGTATTTGGATATTAATTAAGCACAAACCAGTTTTTTCTAAACACTCTTTGCTTAGTTTTGTAGTGTAATTTTGCCTATAATCACTTCAAACTTAACTAATTTGCACTTTTTGTGTGTTTTTATAGCCGTAATTATCATGCCTCTTTTACAAATGCTCATTTTCCATTCATTTTTATCAGACTGCATTTGGCA